ATAATAACACTGCAGCATCTACTGTAATTTAAGAGCTTGTTCCACCAAGTTGCACCTAGCTTTAATTTTCTTATGAAGCTGTCAGCCAAAACCAAGCCTGTGATGGAAGTGAAAATTATCAAGCAACTGAGCTACAATGTAGAGAGTAAATGCAGGTACTGACCAGTTCACTTTAGACCTGCATTATAAGTATCATTACAACCATGATGAGGCATTCAAGATGAAGGCATTAATTTGCTATCATAGATGCTGGCAGTCTGTCTTTTCAAAGCACAGTGTTTGCATGAAAGTCTAAGAAGAAATGGACAGGTCTGACTTCATGTAATTAATGCAGGAAAGCAGAAATAAACAATCTCCCCTTCTTTTCTCCGCCCTTCTCCTCTCCAAATAGCTGGCTTGAAAGTTCTCCCCAGCAGCTCATGGTGTAAAACTGATGGAAACTTTTCAAAATCTCCACTTTGTTGTGGGCATGGTGGATTTATGAACATCGATTCTCTGGTGTCAGTGCCCCACTCTATTAGAAACTGGGCTGCTACAATTGACATTTACAGGACTAGTCTGGCAAATCTCCCTGTTCTAAGTCAGAACTCCCTCACAGGGGTTGTACACTTGTTCAGTATGATGATCTGTAGCCTTAGATGTTTGCAGGCACCATGGCTGTTGGTTAATCACAAGTATACTGTCTGCAGAACAGAGGTCCTGAGGCACAAGCACGTTGCTTCCCCAAGCACGAGCGCCTTAGTGTTTGCACTGGCATACAACGCAGAGCCTGGCAGGGGCCTCTGCTCAGCCCTGACGTGAAGGGCAGTGAGGGCTGGGTCTGAAAGGTGCTGGGGCAGCTCAAACACAGGCTTCCCCTAAACTAATCCAGTTTCCCTCGATATGAAACCAGCCCATTCAACTGCCCTTTCCTTCCTGCCTTTTTCCTTTGCTCCAGAAATACTTTTTCTCTGTCGGTAGCAGCAGGAGCCTGTCTAGGGGGTCTCTGCATTTACCCTTCAGCTCAGTAGAGACAGCATTAAGCATGATTCAGGCGGGAGATGAGGAGGGCTCAGTGGCAATGGCAGATCCTTGCAGGGAAGGACTCCCTGTCACACTGATCATTTGCAGTCACAGAGAAAGGACTGAGCTCAAGTAAGATCAAGAGAAGGACAAAAATGGAAAGAGGTTTCTGTTAAGTAAATGAACTTGTTCATCATCCCTTGGCAGGACAATAGGAAACCTCAACAGACAGTTAAGTAGATCTTGCTGATACAGTTCATTAGAGAGCAATAGCATGCAAGTACACCAATAAATAGTTACATATTTGATAATCCCCATCAGTAGCAAACTGCAAATCATTTAGGCTAGGGAGAGGGAAATAGCAACTGGGGTGCTAATATGACTTGAACTTGTGTCAGATAACCTGTTAATAACCTAAAAAATTATTAATCACATTGTCTTGCCCCTGTATCATTACTGGCTAAGGTTAAGGTGTGATTTAATGTGTGACTCACCAAATGTGTTGGAAAGGCATGCTCAGCCCGCACTATAGGGGAGATTTCCTGTTCCTAAATGAGAGGACAATGACAGTTTTGACTCTCCCTTTTATCATAAGCTAGTCTCTCTGAGGAATAGTATTGATCCATATAAGTATTTATGAGAAGTTCAGTGCCATCTGAGTAGCACATGCATTACTGGGTAGCAATCTGTGGTTAGATCTTTGAGGTGAAGATAATCCTAAATGTTCTAAACGTCAAGGTCAAGTAATTTTCATTATATGCTTTGTTTATGTTGTCAAGATGTGACTTTAACAGCAGTTAACATGGATGAAAGTTCAGCTAAGGAAGAGGGCTCAGTCCCCTGCACTAACTGAGCTTTCCCTGCACTCCGGGTGATCACAGGCCCTGGAAGGACCCTGAGCCATCTCCACTGACCCTGACAGACCTTGTCCTCGGCCAGAGTCCTGAAAGGCTGCTCAGGAAGGCTGCTCGGGCAGTCAGCTGCCTTCACTAAGTACCTCTTTTGGCAGGGTTTGGATATTCACACCGGGAGCCTGGATAAGGGGACAGCACAGTAGTAACTACAGTAAGCTGTATCACCATCGTGATGCAGCAATAAATAAACAGTGTAGAACAATATTCATATGCCAGTGTCCAAAAGGCCACCAGATGTGTTAGCCTGAGGTTAGCTGTAGCCTTGAAAGATTTTAACCACTCCATTTCTGGAAAGGAGAGAAGGACTGATGATGGGAAGAAAGTTTCTAGCGATGGAGAAAGCTTCTAACTGGGAACCATAAAGCCTTTAAAATGCAGAAGGTAAATATTAGAATGAACCAAAGTTGTGGGGTTTGTTTGTTTGGTTTTAAGAAGTCATACTCTGAGGGCTTGTTTCCTGGGTATTGAACACCTGGGGTTTGCTTTGTTGAGACTGGAGTTTCATTTCTGTGCTAGTCTTCACACTGACACTTTTTTTTTTAAGTATGCTCACTATTTTTTTTCCTTTTGAATGTCAGTAGTAGACTGAACATAACCATCTCTGACTCTGAGAAAAAGATTTAAGAGGAAAAACTCATTTAACTTGGAGTCTCTCAGCCAAAACCCTGGAGTGAGTAAGCAACAGGAACTCTGAGGAAACTGGCATAAAACATGAAATCTTTACGCTGCTGAAACTTGTGCCTTGAAAACTAAATATAGAATTGAAAAAGATCTTGAACTGAATTAGGACTGAGGCTATTTTTATTTATTTTTAAGAAGAGAGAAAACAGATCATTTTAAATAAAATGCCAGTTTTGCACAATTAAATCCCAAATTAGAATTGGCCATGAATAGCATCAGAAGATGCTCTGCTGTAAAGACAGAGAGAGAATTCAGAATGTAGTCCTTCCCATGGAAAGGATAAAGGCAGAATTTTCTAATGTATTATTTAACGCTTGTTATGTAGTGCATTAAGCAGTCACTGAGAGGAAAGCTTTTAAAAACCAACAGCCTCAATGGTAGCATTAAATCTTATCTTAGATTTTTGGTTAAGTCAATATTAAGAAAATAAACGAATTAATACATTTCAGTCTGCCCGATTTATAGACGCCAATCAAGTTACAATGCTGGACATGGCCAACTGAAAGAGGGGAATAGATTTACCTGAGTGAGGTCTTAATTTAATCAGCTGGCCCCAGAGAGCTGAAGTCAGCAGGCTGGGATGATATAAGAGGCAGCAGAGAAATAGTGCCTTTCCCGCAGTCGAAAAGGAGAATGACAGTGATGGAAAGGAGTCTAGGCAGTGTCAGAACACACCTATTTCCATGATTTATTCTTAATTTACTTTAATGACAGTCTGAAGGTTGTCCATTTTTCTTTAAGTGTCTTCAGAATGCTGATATTTTCTAAACATGTAGAGCATGCTTTTTCTCCCCCTCCTTTCTGTTAGCTCCATTGCAAGTCGGAATTGAAGGGAACTACGTCTGCATTTTGCTGTAATGAATTTTGAGCAGTGTCAGACTACCCTTTTCCCCCTGTATACCTTGACAACCAGTGTCCCTTCTCTGCAGTCACCCTTGAGTCAGGTCTAGGAATCACAGGTTCCTCTGGGATTAATGTTGATATTATGATAGAATGGAGGAATTTGTTGCATTTCTTTTCCCGTTTATACTGGCAGAGGAACAACGTGTGCTTTCCTAATACCATAGCTCATTTTTATTATCAAGTGAGTTTATTGATGGTTGTTCAGAACTACTGACATGCAGACAATGATCTCAGATTGCATTTACATTTCTGGAATACTTTGCATCTTTCCAGTTTCTGCCAGGAACTTGCTTCTGTGATTCAGAGTTTTTATTTTAAGATTGGACTGTTGTTTAATCTGCATTACAAATCTATGCCTTTTGCTTTCTTGTGTATGTGCACTGCATTCATTAGTACCACAAATCCTTTAAACTTGGACCTGAACAATTATTGTTAATTTATAAATTCTTTCAGGTAGGGATTTGCTCTTTTGCCAGACACTTGGGTATGCTTTTACAGATTGACTGTAAAATCATCATCCCATCACCAGAGTAAATAATGATTTTTATTTTTTTTCTCCCACAATGCCAGTGAGAGGGTTCAAGGGCAATATGATCTCAGTAATGCTTGCATGTAGCTTTGGAATGTCAAGATAACTGGAGACCCTTATCAGTCATTTTCTCGTTTTAAAAAATCCATGGTTTTGCAATAAAGGACTACTACTACTACTTTTTTTATGAATCTAGTCCTTTATATAAAAGATGCTTGGAACTGCCCCAAAAAGCATCTGGAGGGAGAAAAAAGCCCTAGTGATATTGTTCCATACTTAAAAAAAAAAAAAAATCCTTGTATTTGCTAGGAAAAACAATGAAACAAAACTAGAAGCATTTTCTTTTTGTAGTACTTTTTTGCCCATATTGATGAACAAGGAATGTTGTATTTCCTATGTATGTCCTCGTGTCGGCAATCTTTCTTTCCAGGTTGTTTTGCCATATCAAAGGTCGCATATTTCTTTAAAGTTAAGGGTAGTGGTAAAGCAGAACGCAGCCAGGAAGTTGGCTGTTGCAGTAAGTCAGTATGCTCTGCGGTCTCCTCCTGCAGCAACTCGACAACTTAACAGGTGTTTCACTGGGGCTTGTTACAAAACCACTCAATCCTGACGTCGTGTTTTAAGGCGTGAGCCAATTCCCCTCTCAGGTGAAACCGAAGGTACTTTTCGTGAGAGAAAACCAAGTTCTGAGGCCAGCCACTGCAATGCAGAATACCCATTATTCTGCTCAGACTGTGCCTATAAGAAGAGCAGGCCAGGTAGTGAAGAACAGCACAGCTGAGCAAAACAGCGAGTGCTGAGGACCCAGTGGCCACCCTGGGTCCAACGCAAACATTAATACAGGTGCCCCATCGCTCTCCATACATAGCTCAGTTACTCAGACTAGTGTGCATGTTCCCACAACAGACAGAATTTAAAGCCACTATTTAAAAGATGTGTCATTAATCTTACATTTACTTTCATGTTTTCAGATGTACTCAAGGACAAGAAAACCCATCCAGAAAACAGAAATGAACCAAAACCAACTGTGAAAAAGATTGACACCACAACCACCAAAAGCACTGTCAAGTCATCCTCTAAACACAGTGTAACTGGAAATGGGAGCAATCCAGCCCTGAGTTCCTCACTTGTTATTTTAACAGCACTAGCAGTTCTGTGGCATTGCCCACTGTAGCTGTATTGCCTTGCAGCCACTGCGCAAGCATTTCTGTTCACTGTCATTTATACCTACAGCCTTATCCAACAGAAAACAAATATAAATGGCTCTCTAGTTTATGTGATATGTTAGAATAAATATTAAACAATATGCTGGAATTGGCAGATACCAAGTCATCACTTACAATGTCTGAAGTCAGCCTTTGACAAAGCCCACCCAAGATACAGAGGGAATGATGACAAGGGTCTGAGTAGCTTAAGTTATGGGGTAGAAATAATTGAAAACACAGAAATTGTGTATGTGTGTGTTATTGTTTTTCTCAATTTTGTTCACTGGAATCTGACTGGCTGGTTTTGATTGTTTAATTTTTTCTGATAAATTATACAAATAGTCAGTCTTCAAATTCAAGCCAATACATACTTTATTTTTCTAGTGGACAGCTAACAAGCTATGTCTAAAGTTGTAAACCATGTTAAAGTGAAGTATTCTCTACCAGCTAGATGAAATTCCTAAGTGGTCAAGAAGATTAAAGCATGTTTGAAGCCGCTTTTCACTCTTACTGTTTAGATTGTAGGAAGCAACATAAAAGCATATGGTGTGTCTAATGTATCAGTATAGTTGCCTTAACTATGGAAAAAATTAGAACCACTTTGTTTACTGAGGGATATAGATAGTGAGTTTCCCTGCCCCACAAAATGCCATTACCAGATGCTTAAGCATATGCTCAAGACTTATTGGATGAATGTCCAGCAATGGAAAACATAAATAAATATAATAATGTTTTATCCAGTTAAATGCAGCTCTATACAGAGGAAAAAAAGATAATTCAGTTCAAACTTACTTTGCCTATGTGATGTTAAAGAGAAACCAACTTAAATTTTCCATAAAGGTCCCAGAGATAGAAATTATTGGGAACTCCCATTAGATACTAACTAGATTTTGTGCATTGTGGATCTCTTAAATCAACTCTGTTTCATAAACTATGTATTATTTAATTACATGTAATGTTTAAAATTTTGTATCATGATAGGTGTAAATGTAAAACAAACTGAAATTTACAGCATCCTCTGTTATGCCTCATCTTGATTGCTACCTTAGAAAATGTCAAAATGTGCATTATTGTCCAAGGTTATTTTCTTTTCATCAATGATACATTGATGCTTTTTAACTTTTTGGATGAAAAATTACTATAATGACTTCTAATGGGTTAAGAGTTAATGTGTGTTTTCCAAGAACTGTTTACAGTGCCACTGAATATATATATACAAACACAACTGTATAAATACAGTGATTAATATCATAAATATATGAAACATTAGAATTGTTATATTTACTACATTTCATAACTATTACAACAGTTTAATGGCCATTTTCCTGTTGTAGACTATTATTATATACAGTTTTCTAAGATTTAATGTAAAACACTTGCCTTTGTTTTTTGTAAAACATCTCTGATGCTTAGAGTTACACAGCCGCTGACATAACTCAAAAGAAGAACCCTGTATCACAGTGATCAACTCCAGGCATTGCACTGGCAACTTCAATTATAGAAGACAGCCTGACTCATAGAAGGTGCCATGTGCCACTATTACTACTGGATGCCCTTATATAGAAAGTGGCAATAATACAGAAAAAGCAAGCAATGAGTGAACAAAGACTCACTATGCTTTTATGTTTTCAGATCGTGTTAGAGAACACGTCTAATAATGTTTACAAACGTGGGGCTTGAGTTTCATTTTTAATTTGGGCTCTTAGATCATATTTACAGGCATAAAAGTTTAATCAGAACCACCGACACACCCAGCTGCAATGGCAGTGTTTCTAAAGGGACAGCAGCTAAGTTTTCTAAAAGGTAATTCAATTCTAATGTTGAAACAAGGAGATAAAATGGAAAAGATACCTATACTAAGATGAAATATTTTATATTAGGATTCTGTTTTTTCAAAATGGTAAGGATATTAATATCCCTAAGTAGTGCTTTCCAATCATATCAGTGAAAATCAGTTTTCCCAAAAGTACTAAAGTGGCTGTCTGGTGTTTCCCAGGGTTTGTGAGCTGCACCAGGCTATTGACCCATAATTAAAAACGCTGCTTCTTGTAATCATTTTCAGTGCTCTTTGGAAAAGTGCACATTTACCTGCGGAGGCATGCAAGTCATGTCATTTGTACAATGAAAGGACCCTGTAATTCCTTGCAGTCTTAAAGGAGCAGTTGTGATGGCTCCTGTTAGATAGGTTGGTCTCTGCCCACACCCATTTACAGCAGGTGCTAACACTTACCACCAGCTCCTCAGGTGATACCAATCATTGTGGCCTCGCTGAAACAATTCACACCTGTTGCTTGTGAACCTGACCCCTCATTTAGTATTCTTACATTTAAGATGCTCAGTCATCGTGCAGGCAAATGCACCCACATTTGCACACTTAAGTCTCCATCAGGATTCCTAGGGGCAGAGCTAGGCTTTCAGGGCTGGGCTCTGATGATAACAGATTTCAGCTGTGCAGCTTGGAGTTTTCAATTCTTCTCACCTGCAGAGAAGGAACCTGAATACCTAGACTTAGGTGTCTTTTTGAGGTCTTTTCTGCAAAAGGTTTTGTGCTTTTAGCTCAGAGCGGTGATCCAGCTAGCCTACTATTCAGCTGTAGCAGAGGAAGTTGCAGAAGCCCTGCAGTAGGTATGTATGGAATAACTCACCCAGGGGATTATTTGTTGTTGCTAAATGTCATAATCTTGCTAAACAAAAAACTCTGAAAAGTCAAGTATTTGAATTCGGGGTTTGGTTGGCAAGTCTTAAGCTAAACAAGACAACCCTTTTAAAGTGTCTGTAACAACACTAGAACAAGTTCAAACTGTGGGGTGAGATGGAATCAACTCATTTCATTGGATTCAACCAAAATTTTAATAGACACAAATTGTTACAGGAGGAGGGAAGAGACTTCAGAGGACTCCACACCTATTCATACATTTCACACTAATATACTTTTACACTCTAAGAGCAGCACTGGTCAAACCAGCATGAAATAACTTCATAAGGTGCATCAAAAATGGTGCAGCTTTAAAGGGCAATGTAGTATGTTTTTATGATGGTTTAGGATTATTTTTTTTTTTTCCTCAGGTTCAGTTGCATTTACATATTTAACAAAAAAGAGTGTTTTCCATCAAACAATAAGTCTATACCAGCAAAGGCAGAAACAACTGGCTGTGTCAGATAAAGGAAGTATTTCTTTTCAGATGAATAAGATACATGTTTTACAAAATCTTATTTTGTTATCCAGGACACTGTAATTACGATGTAATTACCAAGGTCTAAATTCAAAATACTTTTGAACTTGTCTATGTAATCTCAGTGTAAAATAAGGTACCAGTCTAAGAGCATTGCTGTAGCTCTGCCTAACAGTTATGAATTGTATTTAGCCACTGCTTTTTGATTGTTTATTGTTTTGCTATGGCTTTCTTTTAATATTTTGCTATGCCAGCATTTGTGAATGCCATCATTGGAAAGTAACTGCTGTCATACATTTGTGAGTAAAATCAATCTATCGTTTTCTCTTGCTAGTGATGCAGGCTTCTTACCAAATAAGACAAAATTGCCATAAGCATACAGTCAGTTCTTAAGTGTTTCACTTCTGTTTGGGTCCCTGTTGCACCAGGTTCACGTGTCACTAGTCCCCTTCCTGGCACTGAAAGTGTCATGGAGAAGAGGGAACATGGGTGGGCAAAAGCACGTGTGGCTGCAGTGTGTCAGTGCGTGGCAACCTCCAGCTGTCTTTTCTGAAACCCTGAGCTGAGTGTTCTCAGCTAATTTTCAAACAGCTTTTAAGCCTCTCCAAATTAACACATGGAGACTGGCCAGGCAAAGAGCAGCAGAGAATACAGAGGCTGCATTTTCAGGCAACTTCAGGCACCTGCTATGAATTACACTTCTGCAATTTAGATGCTTTAAAGAAACCAGCCTCTCATTTTCAACCTTGTACTTTTTTTCTGACTTGCTTACTGCCAGTGTTATGCCCTGTCTTCTGGTGCGCCAGGTACTTTGTCATTGCATAAGGAATTGTGATTTTGATCTCTCAGTCAGTAATGAACCTTTTGAGGTACACATATCTGTCAGAGCTTGATAAAGGCAACACAAATAACGTCCAGCTGCAATGACTTCAGAGGCTCTGTGTATGGGTATCTGGCAGTGAGATTTACATCTCTTTGATCTTAAATCAGATCTGTATTTAATATATCCCTATTTCCTTTTGTTACTAAGACTGCAATGTGTATCATAATTTTAAGTTTGACTCTCTAATCCTGTATGGGTCTTCTCAATATTGTCCTGGTGGATGTTGTGCACAGACTTCATTTTAAAGTTAGATGAGCCTTTTTACACAGATTTACTGAGCCATTCTTATTCAATACTGCACATGATTAGGCTTAAGGAAGATCTGTTCAAGTGAAAGGAGCTAAAACCCACATTAAAGTGAGATACTCAGTAGGAAAAAAACCAGAACGTCCCTATGTGGACTCTTAACATTAAACAGATTCTAAGGTTTAGCTGAAATTACACTCAAAATTTCATAACTATCATGCTGCCAAGAGGATTTCAGCCTCGTATTGAAAATCAATAAGGAGTCTACCCATTTTTTAAGTGGTAATTAATTGTTATGCATGCTTTTCTCATCTCTCTGCACGTGGGTAAATTTAGGTCTGTAGAAATAGGAGACATTCCCTAAAATCTATTCTGCATGTTGAGCATCACAGCATCATAAGTGCTTAATGTTACAACTAGCCAAAAGCATGAGACATTTATTTTCATTTATAACATTTCACTACGCACAGTGCTTCTTGTAATGACGTGCAGCATGTGCGTTAATGAAAAGTGAAACATTTTACAGTCAGTGTCATTATAGCTGTGACATGCGTTAGTCAAAAAGAACATGATAATGTCTTCCCATTGCCTCAGAAGTCCAGAATTATTCCCAATACTGATTTATCTTCTGGTTTCCACTGTCACTCTCTAAATAACTACATTTGAATTGTATTAAATATTAAGCCAGCAAAAAATAAATACTGTCCAAGAGATTGTAATGAAGAGAGAGATAATAAACTCAGAAAAGTATCCTGCATTTAGAATAGAGAATACTCCTAGGTAAGAAATCCCTCCTGGACTACAACAATTTTTCAAGTCCCTCTCCAGATACATCCCCATCCCCATCAACCCCCCTGCAGCACAATATGAAGCCTGCATGCAGGAGACTGGTGCACTGAATGAAGGAAGTGAATTAAAACTGTTGCTGCATAGTGATATTTCCAAGTACCTTGTTTACAGTGGGCCACCTTTTGCTGGTTATGAGGAAGACATTCAAACTCTGTGTGCAATTGCTTAAGTTCAGTAAATAGCCACAGTTGCTGCAGCTTTCAGAAAAGGCTTCTGGACACAGACTGTGAAGCAATATTTTTGTGTTGCTCCCGCGTCACTGAGATCAAACTCAGTCCTTAAAATAGGCTGGTTTAGACATTCCAGTTATTATCAATGCTACAGTGATTTCCCTCCCATCAAAATCCTGTAATACCCTTTTGAGAGAAGGGCACATAAAAGAGGGGCCACTGATGCTTTCATGAGCTGCATAAAGTACTTCATTAAATAGCCAGTAACAACCACGTTTTTTTTTTTTTGTTTTTTTTTTTTTTTTCATTTCTGTCCAGAAAGTATTAATACTACCTTGCAAAATTATGCAGTTTGCACTTAATCATTTCAATTAATCTTTAGTAAATTACCTAGTACTTTGTAATTATAATATTTGCAGCTAATTTAGTGCAACCATAAAAATCATTTGTTGCATAATATAAGCAATTAACATTTATTCGGGGTTTTTTCTGTTGCAGGGGGATATATAAATTATCCTCAGTGGCCTTTCTGTACACCTAATTAGCACCTGTTTGAATTATTTTACAGGCTATGGACATTTCACTTGAAAAATAAATGCGTTGCTAGTTTTGTGAACTCCTTACAAATACACAGTTGTAAAAATTATTTTTCAGAGGAATACAAAAACATGTTTTCATATGTCTTCTGGGTTTATGAGCTAGGCTAGACTTCTAGGCTATTACATCTAGAATAGGTACTGACATTTTTAATGCAGTTGAAATGGAAATAGATACCTCTTTCCCACAATTAAGTACAGTGCCCCAGATCTGTAGCCTGGTTTATTCAGTAATGAAAAAGGGGAGCAATAAGACATCAAGAATGTAGGTGTAGCTTTCATGTTTCTGTATATGCATGTAGAGTTAGGATGTTTTACCAGTCAGAGACTATCAAAAGCATTGCTATACTGGAGTGTCAAGGATACTATGTTAAAGTTGTGGAAATTAAACCAGATTGCTTCAATGTCATAAGTAAGCTAGGTAAATAATGATTTTCTATTTAAATGCACAGTATATTGACGAAGATCATCTGATCTTTCTAAAAAGGAGTTCTGAAAAAAACTTTCTAACAGGAGTGCCAATATCAAATATTTACACCTTCCACACATATGAAATTGAGAAATCGAAAAAGAACCCGAGACTTTTCTGGGGGTATGAAATGTAGCAGACCTTCAGCTCCTATAAATCAGTGGCTCCTTTGATTTCAGTTTAACTATGTAGATTTACCGCAGCATAGTATCTAGTCCAAGAATGTGAATTCCTTCCCATCTTTTTGCAGGTGCAGAAAATCAAGAGTAACTGCAGTGATTACAAAATTTGCATAAGAGTTTTACATTGCCCAGGCCACTGATCAGAGAGTGTCTTCATGCCTAGAAAGAAAATGTGTAACACATGGGATGCCATAAGTCTTCTGGCATTTTCCCTTTCCAGGGGCATGGCAGGGGCCTTTTCCAGAAGCAGCTGGTATGATTTGAGGCTACAAGGAGATACTCACAGTGTGAATATCTAGGGTAAAAAGTCTTTCTCAGAGGTTTGCTGATACTGATCGGGCCTTGAGGCAGATCAAGTTTGATTTTTCTGTTTCATGTTAAAACGTAGGATCCAGGTCTTAAACTGGCCTCAGAAACTAATTAAGACTCAGTGGAGAGAACTGATCATGGCTTTGATGTTTTCAGAGAAGCTTAAGCAGCAGAGAAGGCAAGCAGCCATATTCTGCTTCAGCTGAAGCTTCTGTATCTTTGCACTCAGTTTCAGATAAAATTACCTACGAGTAACAAATTTGCAGTGACAAATTTGTGAGTTGCTGTAGCCTACTGTTCTACTGTGGAGGAGAAATGAAATTTCCTCCTAAGCAGAAACAAAAAAGAAAGCTCTTTTATTTTATTTTATGCTAGACATCCAACTTGGAAGGAAACCGAACCAGGGCATTGGACCTCACAAAGACATAGATTCCCCTAAGCAGAGTTGTTCTTGGTGTATGCAGTAGTAACGGTGTCTGTCTGCTTGTCATGAAAGAGGACATCCACCCTTTGGCTCTTTCCTGGGGCTTGAGAAAAGCTACAGTTTATGGCTCAAACATGACAAATAGTTTGGAGGCAAAAGTCGTAGACAAGTTCACAAAGCAGTGAAGAAAGCAATAAGACATTCAGTGGTGGTCTCATTGAAAAACAAGAAAATGGATTTAACTGACATGTTTGAGCTTTTGTATTAGGGATGAACAAAAGAGTTGAAACCTACTGCCAAAACACATTTGCATACGGGAGCAGGCTAATGTAGCAGCAATACTATATAAAATGTTTATTGTATCCCACCTATTATATGGGGCAGTATTCGAATAAAAATGGCAGCCAGTACACTAAACCTTTCATAATACAACCACTTACTGTACTTTGATATCAGAACTAATAGAGTATGAATGTTTACAGTACACTGGGGTAGAAATTCTAGTAAAATACGTGCTTCGTCATTTAGCTTTTTAAATAGTTTATGGCCTCCTAATCTTCTTTAGTTCATTTTATTTTATAGGAATGAACAGTCCGCTTACATTTGTATTTTACATTAGTTGCATCATGGGTATTTTATGTTCCAAAATAGGTTGGTTTTGCCCTAAGCTGTATTCAAGCTCTAATAATTATTTCTATTTCACAAGCACGTGTCTTGATTGCAGTAGATCTGCTTATATTTTTATTGAATAAATTCATCAATTTTCTTCAGTTTGTTTTCAGCATTGATTATGATAAAGGCAGTTCTAAAAAGCAATCTGAAAACAATGTCTTAAAAGAAGAATAAGGCTACTTTGAAAAGTTATAGTAAGCAGTGTGTTTTGTAAGGGATGGTGAACTATGAATGGGAATAAAAATAAATAATCCACTGCAGGAAATTGTTGTCTATTAGAATTTTGGGATTTTTTTTCTGAGTATTTTTCATCATCTTTGATAAAATCTTGAATAAAGATATTTTAATCTGTTCAGATGATGCTTTGAATAAAGGATGCAGACCTTGAGAACTGCTGAGGAACTCAATATTTTTGTCACAGTCTGGCAAAGAAAGGTTTGTTTCTTCAGCACATAAATACTTTCTTGCTCTTCTATTCTTTCTTGCAGTAAATACAGTAAGATGTAAAGGTGCCTACCTGCTCTTCTGGGAGCTCTTAATATTATTGAAGAGATACGATACTTGCAGCGGTCTCCTGGGTAAATGTCAGCATACCTCCACACAACAGGTAGGACTTTTTCATCAAACTTCCATTCCTACATAAACAATCAGATCTGAGTTCTCCATTGACCGAGGTATTGCAATAACTCTGTGCCATATTAAAAGCCTTGCCCTTGGTTTTGATTAGGATAGCATTACTTTTCAGTCTTCATATAGGCCAGTGTACTGGAAAAAGGAAACTCCCTGCTGTTAGCTTAGTGTTTTCATCACTTGTCAGTTATGAACTTTGCACTTTCTCTTCATTTGAGGGGAAAAAACGCTAATCCAGTATTTTTCTGTCGGATGTTGATTATTGTGGTTGTGCCTCTACCATTTCCTAAAGTGACACAGCAGAGACCTTTGCTCTCGCAAGCATTTGTTAAAGCTACTTTTCGTGAGCTTTTCTTCACTGCTCTGTCAAAACAACTGGGTTTTTTTCTGCTTCGAAGTTGGTGGGAAAGATGTTAGCTGGTTTATCTCTTATTTCCTGTTTTGGTAGTATTTAGAAGAAACTCTTGTAGTATTCCCAAATGGGTTGGATTAAAACTATAGGACAGAACACTGAACCGCAACAGTATCATGAACAAAATGTTCTTTTGTTGTGTTTAAATGGCTGCGTACTTGCTATCTACCTTCCCAGGTTTTTTCTTGCTCATTTTGCTTTCTGATTGCATGATGATTTGAGTGTTGCCTCCTAAAGCATCCATGATTCCTGCTTTCCTCAATTCTTTCAAAAATCTTCCTATTTGAGGTCTGGGAATTACATACAGCTCATCTCATCATCTATGTAGAGTGCTTTTTGCTAATATATTAGTTTTTGACCCAGCTCCAAAGATAATAGCCAACAGCTCTTCTCTGCCGATGCTAGAGGAATGCTTGTTCTCTGAAGTGCTGCCTCATAAAAGCCTTTTAAGTTTAAGGATTTCACGTTCATCCTCTAATTAAGCAGGTGTCTAAATCTGTGAAGCTGCTTCATTCTGAAATCCAACCTGCCTCCACTTCAAAGGATGTTGTTTCTTTTCCCAAAGATGTTTTTAAAAGGGCTTCTTTGACAGTTCAAATTTGTAGGGTTATTTAAAGGCTTTGCCTCTCACCTGATTCAGTACTTATTTTCCAAAAATACACAGAATATATCAGATGTGATGAAATGCCTCAAGGAAGTTCCTTCTTAGTGGTGCTGGTGTTCATGTCTTTGACTGAAGATCTTTAATTGCATTGAGTAACTAGCCCTTCTGCTAGCCTAATGACAGAAGTGGTTGCAACCATATATGATCCATTTGATGCTTCTCCCATCAGAAATCCAAATCTTTCCTCATGTTTGGTTTAGGGTTTTTTGTTGTTACTGCTTGTTTGGCTTTGGTTTTAAGCAATATGTCAGTTTGGCTCTGAAACACGTCTAGAATTTGCCATACCCAAACCCTGGAAAAAAGAGTGGATTTAGCCTCACTTGTCCCAGGGATTCCAATATGATGCAGCTCCAAATACAACCACTGACTTATCCGAATGATAGCTTGCCTTATGATACTGAGAGAAGCAGAGTGACTTTAGTGTAGGAAGTCTTCCTACACTTCAGCTTTACATCTGAAAATAAACAGTCTTTTTTTGGAAAGAACGCTTGTGAAATCATTATTAACTGAGGAACCCAGCATTAACTAACACCATCCTAAAATAGCAAACTGAAAATACTCCTGCTTGTATAAGAAAAAGACAGGTTTTATTTGCGTTTAATATGTCCTCAAGGAGATTCAGAGTTAACTTTAGAAGAAAGAAGGAATCCCAAAAGCAACAGAAACCCATGTCCTACAACGCAGATTACTACTTTCCCATCTTGCATGTTTTCAAGAAAACAACATATGGATGAAAGGAATTTGCCAGAGCAAGCGGGAGGAGGTTACAGCGGATGTGTGAGCCCTGTTCACTCACAGTGGACTTTCAGCTCCACAATCGCTGGTCCAAATTAACACCTACAACTTGAAAACCCCCACAGAGAAGATAGAAAACTCATTCCTTATGGAGTTGCCTCCCATCATTCCACAGGCATTATTCTCTCTTATCCCCAGGAGGGGAAAGGGTGCGGTGTGGCTCTCAGCTGTGGGGACCCATGTTTTCCTCTAGGGTTCACAGTGGGTCCTGCAGCATGCTGCCATTCCCTTTTTCAAGGTACACGCAGGCATTACGGATGATCCCCAGGTAGCCCACAGGGCATAAAGGAAGGGAGGGAAGTTTACTCTGATCTTCCTCCACCCAGGAGCAAAAAGGGGTGAGTTAGGCCTGAAACGACCCTTCAGTTTCAGAGCTATCCTTTCAAAAAAAGGCCTTTTTTCATATGACCTTTTATTTGTTGATTCAGGCAAGTGCTGGGGCAGCAGGAGTCTGCTCCCTTTATTGTATTGCACAA